GTTACAAGTTAACAGTGCGCGATAGCGTTTATCTATTACATAAATTGTTCTATGACTAGTAGTCTTTTTAATACATAGCCGGGATCTTACAATATATGAAATACGTTGGGGGCCAATTTATCCGCAGGGAGCTATATTATCATCTTCTCCTCTGGATCTCGCAGAGAGGACCATTTTCTATGAAGCAACCCATGTTCTCTGACGCGTTATTTAAGAGCTATGCGACCGCACAGACAGGGCTTAGGTGATATTTATTGTAATTATGAGATGAATTATTCATTTATTTATTCATTTATTCATTCATAATTAATTTATTAATTTATTTTTTTATTTTTTGTTTTCATTGTAAACATAAACAGATTCAAATTGTACTGACTTCTGTGTCTCTCAAACCAATGTACCTACGTAGATGGCAGAAAGAGTGCTACCAACTATAGTGCAGAATGCAATCAGATTCAGGATAGACACTTTGAATACCTTGTGTAAACTGTCTGCAAGTGTACTTGAAACAATAAATGAATAATTCATCTCATAATTGTAATAAATGTCTCCTAAGATCTGTCTACGCGGTCGCGTAGCTCCTAAATGACGCGTCAGAAAACATGGCTTCACAGAAAATGGTCCTCTCTGTGAGATCTATCGTTCCTCAGAGTTTGTTGCAGAGATCTTAAATCACCCTGTATATATATATATATATACAGGGTGAGTCATTTTAATCAACGCATGCAAATATCTCGTAAAATAAGCAAGATGGAAAAAAATGTTTTATACAAAAGTTGTAGGGTTCAGAGGGGGACACATGATGAAAATATGGACTTGACCTTGAGTGACCTTTTCAAGGCCAAGTCAATGTGATCGATATTTTCTTAAATAGAACCCCCCATTTTTTATTGCATATTCTTGTAGCTTATCTCGAAAGCTTTTCGCATGACGTTCGCATAGAGTTCGATTGCAAGGAGAACATTCCCTCTAATACCACAGCTTACTGTCTTATCATTCACGATCGAGTGGTGGAGTACAATCCGCTCACCAACGTTGTGGGCAGAATCGTATAAGCGCGATGATATTCAAAATATGAAGAGAGAATAAAAGAGGCGCACACTTCGAGTACCGCTAATAACGACGATGGACGCACCGATCTTCGTCGATCTTCAAGGTTTCGTAGTTAATGAGAGATTCGTCGCGAAAGAAGTAGCCGTGTTAAGAAATGGCGTGGAATTGACGCATCACATCTTTCGCCCACCGATGTCTTGGGATCTGCTAACGAGAGCGGAAAAATCGCGAGCGTGTTGGTTGACATCTAATCATCATCAATTAAAGTGGAATGACGGACACGTGAATTACGGATCGATGAAAAGACTCATTCGGGACGCCGTATGTCGAGAATCTAGCCCCGATTCACTGTTCTCGACAAAACGAGTCGATTAAGAGCGCCATTGGTACGTTCGCATAGAGTTCGATTGCAAGGAGAACATTCCCTCTAATACCACAGCTTACTGTCTTATCATTCACGATCGAGTGGTGGAGTACAATCCGCTCACCAACGTTGTGCGCAGAATCGTATAAGCGCGATGATATTCAACATATGAAGAGAGAATAATAGAGGCGCAGCACACTTCGACCGCTAATAACGACGATGGACGCACCGATTTTCGTCGATCTTCAAGGTTTCGTAGTTAACGAGAGATTCGTCGCGAAAGAAGTAGCCGTGTTAAGAAATGGCGCGGAATTGACGCACCACATCTTTCCTCCACCGATGTCTTGGGATCTGCTAACGAGAGCGGAAAAATCTCGAGCGTGTTGGTTGACATCTAATCATCATCAATTAAAGTGGAATGACGGACACGTGAATTACGAGTCGATGAAAAGACTCATTCGGGACGCAGTATGTCGAGAATCTAGCCCCGATTCAGCGATAAGAATTTACGTTAAAGGTCACGAGAAGAAAAAATGGCTGATCGAAATCTTAGGAAACGAGGACGACGCGATCATTTGCGTAATATGTGCGATTGATTCTATATTATATTACTTTATATCTACTCGTTTGTATTATACATTATATCGAATTATTGTATATTATGCATCATCATATATTATATAGCATATCGAGTCACTTATTTAATCTATAAATTTAATTATATTTTAAGCTGTATATAATGTATCGAATCTATTATCAATTATATAACCCACAAATTTAATTATATATAATGTACTGAGTGAATTATATAATCTCTAAATTTAATCATTTATTTTAAGCTTTAATAAATGTATTCTTCATACTGTCGCAAAATACACGCTATACTAACGAACCGCGTTTTTCTTTTATCGCGGTCGCGTATCCTTTCCCACGATAATAGCTCACGCATCTCCTATTTTATACAGATGTCTGTCAGAAAAGTGTTCGATTATCTGATTAGTGTTATTATAATAAAACTAAAATAAATCTATTTTATTTTAGTATTTTATATTATAAAATAAATTTATCTTGACATATTAAACGAATACTATTTTAGTATTTTATATTATAAAATAAATTTATCTTTACATATTAAACGAATACTAGAATAATAAAAATAGAAATAATAAAATAGTAAAACCGCGAGAGGAACTCGAGCGTCCGCTAGATAACGCGCATCCCAGACGCTCGGCCGATATTCGCTCATCATCGAAAGGTCGCGTCCCTCTAATCGAGGCGAACTGCGACTCTTTTTCGAACGAATCGCATTTCCTCTTCCCCCACCCGCGCTGAATTCGTCAACGATAAAAATAGACATCTCGCCGAACGCGCGAATCAATCGCGCCCGGCGTCTCGATAGTTTCCCGCGTCTTTCCCCGCTCCGCGCGATGTCTAACGCGAAGACGGTTCTTCTCGTCTTAGCGACGACGCTCGTCGCCGCGACGGCCGCCGCGCCCGTTGATTCGGAAATGGCCGAGGTGTTTCGCTTCCTGCGCGCGTACGGTTTTCTAAAGGACAACGGAGAATCGCTATCATCCGATAACGCGACATCTCTGCGTCGCGCTTTGTCGCTGTTTCAGGAATACTATCAATTATCAGGAAACGGCGAGTAAGACGCAGTTACGCTTAGCCTTATGCGCAAATCGCGATGCAGTCTCGCGGATATTCCCGATCGCGCGTATAGCCCGATCGCGCGAAAATGGCCGAAAACGCGCCTCACGTGGAATTTTCAGGTAGCTAGCAAGGAACTCTCGCGAACGGCCGAAGCGGCGTTCGTGTTTACCAATTCGCATCCTTTCATCTCTGTACCATCCCCATACCTCCGTCCCATATAATGCTACGCTGTTCACTAATGCTTTAAACATTTTTATTCTTCTTCCAAAATCTTTGTTAAAAATTCTCTCTCCTATGCTCCACGTGTTCTTCATTGCCACCATAACTTTTCTGTAACCTTCTCTTATCTGTTTTTCTGGTCCTCTATTCTTCTGTAAATGTATCCTACTTTATCTTTTTCACTTCCTCAATCTTTTCTTCTCTCCACGTCCAGCTCTCTCTCTCTCTCTTCTTTCCTCTTCCTTTCTCGAACACCAGCACCTTCGATTTTTCTGGACTCAGTACTAGTTTCTTTCTTTCCCAAGTATTTTCTAAATCTTTTTATCATGTCTTTCAGCTCTCCTTTTGTTTTTGCCAGCAAAACTATGTTGTCTACATACATTATGGACCAAACTTTCTCTCTGTTTATTTTTATCCCCCCGATCTGTCCTCTTCTCATCTTCAATGTTGAATAGCATCGGGCTTATGGAACATCCTTGTCTAACTCCTTTTTCCGTCCAAAAAACCTCACTCTTTTCCTTTCCTATTCTAATTATGTTCTTCGTTTCTTTATAAATCTCCATTATTCTGTTTCTTAGCTTATTGCTTATTCCTATCTTCTTCATTCTTTTGTTTAAGATTTCTCGGTCCACCTTGTCGAACGCCGACCTGAGATCTGCGAAAAACGCAAACACTTTCCCTCTTGGTTTCCTCAACTCTCTATGTATCATGAAGTTCAGCAAGTATATAGCATCGCTTGTCCCTCTTCCTTTCGTAAAGCCAAACTGTGTCTCCTCATATCTATTTTTCATTTCTTCTTTCAGTTTCTCATTCAGTATATTTGGGGTATATTTTCAGGTATTTGCGTATACCTTGTAACTCGTGTCCAACAGCGTGACTCCTCTATAATTCTTGACCTCCTTGATTAAATATTGGGTATATAACTCCCTTCTTCCAACCTTCTGGGATGCTTTTTTCTTCTCACACTTTCTCTATAACTTTGATTAAAGGCTCTTCTATCTCTTCCTTCATGAATATCCACGCTTCGTTGTTGATCCCGTCCTCTCCTGCTGCTTTCCCTCTTTTTAGCTTTTTCACCCGTGCTTTCACCTCTGCTCTGCCTATCCCTCCATTATTCCTTTCAATCTCCTCCTCCTTCTCCTCTTCTTCTTTTTCCTCTTTTCTTCTCCGTTCCATGCTCGTCTTTTTTTCTGTTCCTTCTAACATATCCATAAAATGCCTTTTCCACTCTTCTATGTCAATTGAACTCTGCAAACTGTTCCTCATCTTCCTAAACTTATTAATGTATCTCCAAGCCTCCGTCTCCATCTTAACTTTTTCTATTTTCTCTTCCTCTATTTCCTTTTCTTGCTTCTTCCTTTCTTCTTCGCACCACCTCTTATATTCCTTCCTCTCCTTTACATACTCTTCCCTAAATAACTTTCTTTTCCTCCATTTCCTTAGTTCCTTCCTTAATAGCCTTTTCCTTTCCTTCCATTCTGCATTAAACCATTTCTTTTTTCCTAAGTCTCTTCTTTTCTTCACCTTTATCTTCCTTGTGGACTTATCTCTCTTGTCCCTTATCTCCTGCCATAGTGTTTCTTTTCCTGTCTCGTTGTACTTCCAGTCTTCGATTTCCTTGTGGTAGAATTCTATCCCCTCTTGTGACTAGTCACATTAGACCTTCTACTCCCTCTTCTCCCCCTGCACTGCCATCCCTGCCATACTCCTCTCAGGCTCTTCTCTCTTCTTCCTCTCTTAAACTTCCTTTTCTTTCATCCCAACGGAACCACTTCCCATCCATACATAGCTTGAAATATCCTACTTTCGCCGATTTTCCGCTTTTCTTGTGTTCCCATGCTAGCTCTCTCAGCCTCTTTTGTACTTCTCTCTCCTTCCAGGTTAGGTCGTCTTCTATGTATATTCCTCTGTTTAACTCCTTTTTCTTCTCCATTATCTTCCTCTTATCCTCCCATTCCTCCAATTTCAGTAGTACTATCTTGCTTCCGTTTCCGTCTCTTCTCGTATTCAGCCTGTGTGCGCTTCGGACTTTTGTTTCCACTTTTAGATTAACTGCCAGAAAGCTCTCTATCTCACACTTCAACTCTTTCTCTTCGAAATTAGACCCTCTGATTATTATGTTCTTTCTCTTCTCTTCTCTATCCCTTCTTTCTTTTTCCCATTCCAGTTTCTCAACTCTCTCTTGTATAATTCCTCTTTTTCTTTTCTCCACTCCTCTCATTCTTGCCGTATCGTCTGTTCCCACTCTTTTTTTTCTTCTTTCATTTTCTTCTTTAGGCTTCCTATTTTTTCTCTAAACATGCTTAGCCATTCTTCTTTTAATGTCTGCATCAGCTCTTGAAACATGCCCTCTTTCTTCTCTGCCCTATCCGTTCTTTTCTTCTCTCAACATTGCCTTGAGTGTATTCTCCTTTATCTTGTTGCCTGCTCCTGTTGATCTGCCTCTTAGCCTATTTTTGACCAATATACAATATATACAGGGTGTAAATGAATGCCTGTTACAAACTTCTAGGGTATGTAGAGGGTTCAAAGTAGACCAACTTTTAATAAGGAACTCATGTCCGGAAACGCACCGTTTGCGAGCTGTAGACTGTTGGTATGTTCAGTATTATGAATAATTCTCATAATAACTTTATTTGCTTACATTACACTACAAAAATGTTTGGCAATGTCAAAACAGATAGCTACAATAATTGCTCATAATGACGTAATTATGTGTCGTGCGTACGACAAATAAACGGTCGAGTCACCTCACGTTAACCTTGGTGGTCGTCATGAGCAATTATTGCAGCCATCTGTTTTGACATTGCTAAACATTTTTGTAATGTATAATGTAAGCAAATAAAGTTATTATGAGAATTATTCCTAATACTGAACATACCAACAGTTCCAGTCTGCAGCTCGCAAACGGTGCGTTTCCGGACATGAGGTCCTTATTAAAAGTTGGTCTACTTTGAACCCTCTACATACCCTAGAAGTTTGTAACAATTATTCATTTACACCCTGTCTATACTGGGTGTTCCCGGGTTAAATGGCCAAACTTGAAATATGAATTTAGGACCTTAAAACAAGAAAAAATTTTCCTCTGGAAGTATGCTCGCAAACGCTTCGTTCAAGAGATATTGACTTCTGAAATTATGAACTATAGGAACAAATAATTTCGAAATAATCTAGGTTTATTCTATTTATTCCTGCACAATAATCAAAATTTCTTAATTAAATGTTTTGTTCAAAATGATGACCTCCAGCTCGGAGACAAGCATTGCATCTATCGATGACAGAATGAATGGCTGATTGACATTGTACATCTGTCATTTCTTCGCACGCTTGCACTATCCTCCGTTTTAGTGATTGAAGGTCATTAATAGGCACTTCATAAACTTGTCAATGATCTTCGATCTTCAAAACTAAAAAGAAACTAAAAAGAAACATTTCGAAATTATTCGTTCCTATAGTTCATAACTTCAGAAGTCAATATAACATTTATTATACACATTATACACACTTTTTCTTAAAAACAATTTTTTTTAATATCAATTAACTTGTCTCATTATTCTGTACATAAAAGTATTATAGTAAGATTATTGAAAACTAAATATTTTACAAGATATTTTATTTTTGATATCAAAATATGTCAGAATAAAATAACTCAAAAAATACTTAATGAAAAAATACTTTATTATAGCGTTTTGAAAAGCTCTCGAGATAAGCTACAAGAATATGCAAAGAAAAATAGAGATTGCCATTTAAGAAATTAAAGGTGACCTTTACGTGATCTTGACAACGTTATTCAAGGTCATAATAATATTGCTATGTAATACACCATATAAAACCCTACAACTTTTATATAAAACATTTTTTTCAAAAATGCGTGTTTTCCGAGATATTAAGGGGTTTCAACACTTTTTGTACACCCTGTATATACATATATATTGGTGAAAACATTGTATTAAACATTGTCTTACAAAGTAGAAAGAAATAAGATACCAAAATGAGCTTCCAGTAGTTTTAATTTAATGCTGCATTCCAACACTCTTATCAATATGTTCTTTTGTATAAATATTATACCAAGTAAATTCGAAAAAAGAAACGATAAAAGTAACTGTTAAATTCGTTATTCGTTACCGAAAATTGATGTTCAAAAACATCAAGCGACGCGGTAGCGTCGCGACGCCAAGTATATAAAAAAATTCTTTCCGGCTTGTCAACAGTTTTGCCTATGTACAGGGACCACGGCGCTACCAAGTAGCTTATCTGGAATTTTAGGTCCAGTAAACTTTCGATTAAGATATTTTAAGAACTAAAGCCGTAATCAAAAATCTAACGGCACTTTTATTGTATAATGTGGATATAAGCTTTCGATTGCGACCGGTTTGAATAAGATTGGTGCAGTCAATCCCGAGAAATGATGATCGTATATCAGAATTGTGACAGTTTTCATTCTTTATTGATTTCAGACGCTTACATACGTACGCTCGCACGCACACATGCAAAGCGATTTTGTCCCTCAAAGCGCGTTTGCAACGCTCATGTATGATTATTCCTTTAAGTACTACAAGTACGCCTTGAAAGACAATTTTGTGTATATGCGTGCATGCGTATATGATACGTATAAATACGTATAAATACGTATCATATACATATGCACGCACATACACGAAATTGTCTTTCAAAGCGTATTTGCAGTACTTAAAGGAATAAACATACATGAGCGCTGCAAACGCGCCTTGAGGGACAAAATCGCTTCGCATGTGTGCGTGCGAGCGTACGTACGTGAATATTGCTACTTTTTTTATCTTCCAATATTTGTGTAAATCAATATTTTTGCAACAGAGATTTACAAATGATAGTGAACACATTTTATAATTAAAAGGACGATATCCTCATGATTTCTTAAGATAATACAAAATTACAAAACATTATTACAATTTTAACTATTTATAATTGATTTTTATATTGCAGGTAGATCCGTGAAGTTACAGACGGAGGATACTGAGGACCGGAGAATTTAGGTAAAAATTCTTTTTCTTTTTATTTATCTACATGTTCTTCAATATTTTGGTTAATGATTCTTTTTATATTCTCTCTTAAAATATGTATATAATATAATAAATATAATATATGTATGTCCCAGGGGTAGCACGTATTTGTTTCAGAAACGTTTCACAAAAGTTTCTTTAAAACGCTTCATAACCGTTCTTAAAAAGTTTCTCATTGGTTAAAATAACCCCTCGAAAAACGTTAAGAGAAATATTATTGTAAAGCAAATTCATTTCTAATGGTATGTCTTTAGATATCCCTTGCCACTTAAAATTTTTAGGGTGAAATTAACTCTCCTTTCGGAGTTAAAGTTAAATGAACGGAAATAGCCAATTAACATGTCCCCCTTGTAAATAATCTTGACTTGTCCGAGCGTTTTTCGAACAAATGAGATTAAATGCCAAAAACACTCATGTTTCGTTTTCGGTGGGTCACTCTGTATATACAGGGTGAGTCATTTTAATCAACGCACGCAAATATCTCGTAAAGTAAGCATATATGTATATGTGTATGTGTGTGTGTCTATATTATCTTTAAAGTTTTGTAACTAATGTCATGTTTTGAAATAAAAAATGACATATTGTTAAATATTAAAAATGTTAAGAATATTTATACTTACCATATATTCAACATTTTGTTTTCTACTTAAAATTTTTTCAATATTTTCCAAACTTTTATCAGTGTCAACTGGCATTTCGGGAACGTGCAGTATTCTCGATTCTCGATAGTCGAAAAATGTGCTACAAGTTGTTTGACTATCGGAAGAAGCAAGTTCATAAAATTTTCTCAGTAATTTTGTTAGAATAAAGCAAAAAGACTAAAAATAACAATCTATATTAGCGTTTTTAAAAAAATAAAAAAATGAATTTTTTTTTCATGCAAATCTCTGTCTCATTCCCTCTCTCTCTTTCTCCCTTAACACAGAAAATAATAAGATATGGATATAATAAGATAAGTTAAATAGTGCTAGATTATACAATATATGGAGAGTAGCATATAATAGATAATAAACCAATATTAAAAATAGGTAAATAAATAATTAAAGCGCAATTGCTCAAAAAAGCGATTTTTATATGGATCAAAATGCAGATTATTCAGAGTATTAGTCTATGTAATGTATTTTGATTTTCCGGATAATGGTAAAGATGTATTATAATGAAATTATCTTAATAATGATAATAATTCATCTAATGCTGACAGTTTAACATTATGCGTTAAGGTCTACTTTCTCAATTTACTTAGGAAATCACCAGATAATGTTTCGTTCTCTGAAGAATCATGTTCTTCAGTTACGTATCATTCTTGATAAATTTCAAATGTAACATTAGGGGTTTCATTGAGTAATTTCTTGTTTTTCAATTTATTATTCTGCTGATTATTTTAAGAAAATGCATGAAGACTGACAAGAACTTGTCTGACTATAATTGAATTTATTCAATAACTCATGTACTTGTTTCGGTATGTTCCTTCTTATTTGCTTTTTACTAACAATAAGAAATTTAATTTTTTTTTCTTTACTCATATTTAAACAATTGAGAATATTTTAGTTAGAAATAAAGGATTTTAAGCGCAATGTTTCGACAAATAAAGAAAGCTTTTTCTTATATTTTAGCGCGATGGAATAATCGGTAGGTTAGTTTTCGACCACATGCACGATCCATGGCCCGCTATAGGAAAAACGCTTTCTTTGGACGTTAAGTCCTCGCTTGACATATGAAATGGTTGTCGCGGAAAAAGAGAATATTTTAATTCGCGGGTCAAACTCGCCAGACTAGCCAAAGTTATAATAATCAGCTTTGTCCTACTCATCTTTACGCTCCTTTTTTCCTCGCCGGTGAGCTCACAACTGTCGCCTAAGAGAAAAAGTTAATCGTCGTTAGCGCGCATATATATAGGATGTCCCAGAATTCGCGGACTCGAAATGCATAGCGTGATTATCCGTGCCAAAAGAAGCAACTTCTTTCTCTGGCAAAACCATAGACATAGTATATCTAGACCGAGTGTTGAGGAGTGGGAGCCGAGGTGCACGTAGAAAAGGACATACTCTGTTTCGTGCCCCTTGCGTTCTCTCTCGCTCGCACAGAGCATAGCGCTCTCTTTCGTCATGCTACGTGCG